AAGTAGTCAGTACTTGGCTAGGTCTGGTTTTGCAGGATTATTACATCATTGGCATGTCAAGAAGATCTTCAGCCTGTGGCACTGCTAAGATTTTAAGCTAACCCTGGATGCTTTATTAGTGGATTTTAGCTCATCTGCATTTTTTAATGCTGCTGCCACCTGTGTTCCCGTTGATGAAACTCCAGTTATTCATTATGGAGTTTAGTTCTGGTTAGTTTGCTGGCCAGTAAAGCAGAGTGATACCATATTCATTAAAGCAAGTATTTGTTCCTTCAGAGGGGAGGGAAGGTACAAAGTCTGAGAAGAGGAGTGAAAGTATAAAGTCTACCAGAACGAAATCAGCAAAGCCTGAAGAGCTCTTAAATATATTTAAGAATGGCTGACCCAATAAAACAACAGCATCAGATGACAAGATTCTCCAAATAATTCCTGACTGTTGAAACTTTGCAACAGGCCTGTCATAATTGTTAAAGGGTCGCAAACGATCAGATGAAAAAAAATAAATGCAAAGAGAACTAAAATGCTTAAATGTGAGGATTAGAACCGAAGAACAAATATTGCACAAGAAGAACATGACATCGAACCTTGGCCATAATTGAATATGCTACCAGCACTGAACAAAGGAAAACAAAGAGCTTAAAACTGGAGGAGAGTGAAGAAGCACTTAGAAACCAAGGAGACTAACCAAAAGGGATGTAGAACAGCTGGGGTAAGAGTGAAGAGCAGGGACTGAGGAAAGGGGCCTAATTCACTCTAACAAAATACAAAAGGACATACATCCTTAAGGTAAAAATATAAAGATGAAATACACAGACAGAATAAGGAATCAGAAGGGCGCTAAACACTTAAACATTATCATCAAAATTAACAGAATTAAAAATGAATATTTTCTATAATCATTCATCTAACATTGGAGGTTTATTCTTTATTTAAGTAAATGAATAACAAAAAACTTTCATTGAGAAAAACTTTCTCAGAGGGAAAGTAAGTGAGTCAGAGGGAAAGGAAAGAATATATATTTTCTGGGGAAAAGATTCAGTGCATATGAGAGCCAGAAATAGGACTTATAGAAGGATGCAGGCCGACATTGGCAGACTGGCTGACTTGTAATTACTGGCCTTGTCTCTTCAGAAAAACAACAGCTGGCTTTACTATAATTTGCTATTGAATGCACCTGCTGAGGCCACATAGGAAATAAGTGTGGCTTCAGTATTAGTGCATCAACAGATAAAGGAGCCCTAACTGAAATAGGATAGCATAGATTCAACCCTGGAGCCTTTATATAGCATTCAACGAAAAAATGCAATAATGATACGATCACAGTCGAATTTAATAAAAAAATCCTAACAACTAAAGGCTGTATGATCTGCAGAGGTACTTTTCCAAAAGTGTGACTAACAGCAATTTTCTTAACCAACCTGTTTCTTAATAGATTTATATCTTCATATATTATTTATCCAAATATCATGCATAGCATGATATCAACAGGTCTCCAGAATGTCCAAAAGGATGTAAGACATCACTTAATCTTCCTCCTACCCACACATTTGGACTATTAGTGTGGAAATCCTGATCCAGTTTCTCCCACTTTTTCTCCTCCTCATCATCTAATTCAGTAATTAGCTCATTATTGCCACCTCTTCTCAAGTACCAGAAAGTTTGATCAACAAAGTTTGATGAAAATGCTTTTGATATTTTTCTCCATGGATCTCTATGTATGAACCAATTACATCCCTGAAATCAGTCCAATAATTTGGTATGAAATAAAACAGAACAGAGAGGACATTTGTGGATTTGTGGTCTCAACCATGCAACCAAACTAAAACTGCACTTTGAGAGGAGCCTCAAACATTTACTAATGACTTCCAGCATCATGAAAACATTATTCAGGCCCTGCAGAGGATAGTGAGGGGAACAGAAAGGGTCACTAGAGTCCCTACTCTCTGTCAAGGAATGAGACTTTCAGACAGTTTTTTCAGTAAAATGAAGACAGACATGAAATCAAAAACTAACCATAAAAACGCTGCTCTATGATAAAACAGACATTTGGACCACTTGATTCTTTCACATGTATCCTTTGCATTGTAAGTTCCATTTACTGGCTTGAGTAGGTTTTTAATTTTTTTATTTGTTTTGGTATTGTTGGCTCATATTGTAGTTTACTATGAAGCACTTTGTAATTTTCATGTTTGCAATCTTCTTCGACAGACTGATTTTCACAGTTGGAACCAAATCCAACCTCATTTTGCCTCATGTTTTATTAATAAAAAAAATGTGAATCAAATTTTTTTTACAAAAAAAATCTGAAGGAAAGCTCAAAATGTATCCGCACTCCTTTCCTTTCCTCCATCTTTGTACTTCCTCCATCTTTCCTTCATTAGTGCATCTAAACCTTTCACCTTGTTGGTAGAGATGATCATGAAATGTAGCTGCAAGTGTCATTTCATCTTTTTCACACAGAAAAAAACTTTGATTCAAAGTGTCTGTATTTGTGTGTGCTGAATGGACCTTTCTCATTTTTGTAAAGCACCTTAATATGACAGTTTGTAAATTCACAGGAAATAAACAACCTAAATGTCACTCTCTATGACATAGGATGCAATACCATGATAATTGCATGTATGTTTGTAGTGGTCCCCATTGTTAATATATGACAAGCACATCCAGCCCTTATTAATTTAGCAGTCAGTTTGCGGATACAAGTGAGATAAAGTGATTTACTTTAACTGATAACAGAACTGTGCTTTACTGCAGTTTTAGCCAGCGGAGAAACACAGTGAATCACGCACGAACACACTCCTACACACACAGCTGCAGAGGTCATTAGACACATTTAGTCAAAGTGCATTTGGTTAACATACAGGGCCGGATTTATCAAGATCCAATTTTGCGTGCAGTAATTTGCGCTCGCAAACTGGAATTTTGCGCGAGGGGCTGGACCATGGTTTGCGGGTGATTTAACAAGAGCGATTGCGTAACTGGTGGAAGGTGCAAAATTGTTGGAGACGCCCTATTTAAATGATGGTTTTGCGCGTTTTGTGGTTTGCGGCAAAGTAGTTTGTAGTTTGTGCAAACTAATGCATTAAGAAATTTAAATCTTACAGTGATATATAAAGAAAATTCCGTAAAAATTCAAAAAATATCCACTGGACTTGGTTTTTGAAAACCAAGTCCAGTGGATATTTTTTGAATTTTTACGGAATGACTTTGACCTGGATGACTGAGAACCTTCATCAGTATATAAAGAAAAAACTTTTGCAACCTTTATTCCCTAAGGTGGTATGTGGCTGAATTTCTACTTCACTGCAGTAAAAAAAAAAAAAAAAAAAAACAACAACAAAAAAAAACAAAAAAAACAGGTGTTTTGTATTGGCCTGTAGAAAAATGCACATACCAAATGGCTCACAAGAAGTGACTGTGGATGAGATTACGCATCCCCGCAGCATTGGCATGTTGCTCCACAGGCGCAGGGGGAGAACCCCGACCCCGTCGGACAGCACTTCTGAAAAACGAGATTGGGAGATCCGAGCTCTCGCTGCAACCGTACGCTGGAATGACCCAGATGCAAAAACGTGCAACGTTGCAAGGAGTTTTGTGATATCTGGTATTGCGTGGGTCCTCCTTGTGGCTGGCTCCAAATCCATTCGGAGTTCCCCCAACAGCTCCAAAATGGCAATGCTGGATAAACGATATGTTTTGATGATCGTTTCCTCGTTCATTCCAAAAATATTCACACGGAGTGAAAAAATGCGTTCTCTGCGTCTCCTTGCTTCATTTCCATGTCTCCTTCTTGCGACAATAACCGCTGCCATGTGTGCGCAATTACGCATACAGACCATTTGCACCTTCTTTTGAAACGTGTTAAATATAGAGTCAGATACCGTTAGCAAAACTGATTTCAGGTTTAATAAATCACTTTGCGAGTGCTAAATTAATATATTTACATGTTCTCCTCCCACAAGACGCACTTTAGCGTGTAAACGCCCCATATTGCATATTCATTGCAGAAAAAGTACTAAATGGATAAGAGGCGCTATTTAGCACGTTTTAAAGACCAAATCCTTTTAGCGCGCTGTTGATAGATCAGTTTGTACATTTTTTAGCGTGCGCAGTTAAATAGCTCACGTTTTTATACACGCAAACCTTTGATAGATCCGGCCCACAGTGTCTAATTTGACCACTTTTCAGAAAGCATATCCCTCAGAAACATGTACATCTCTCAGAAAGAGTGCATTAAGTGCAAGGACACCACATCCAGTCAGTGAGATGTTGGGTTTACTGTATATGGCGTGGTGTGTGAAGGAAGTCATGTGGTGCTGAATGAAGACAGCTAAAGGCATTTAATTTAGCTCCCAGACAGAATGTTTCTGCAACAGAGCTTTTAAACTTAAGGTGACATTTGACTGGAGCCTAGAAGGACTTTTTTCTTTATATTCACTCAAATGACAACATGGCCCTCAAGCCAGTTGAAGGAAAGTGTTTTATTGCACTTTAAAACCACAGGCTAATACAACTAGTATAGTTCAGTGGGATCTTGAGTGGGAAGAATGAAAGAGAACGTAATAAGGTTTTTCATGCAATTTTCGTAAGTTATTAGACCTGTTTTCTTTTTTTCCACCTTATTCAAATGGGCTTATGTAGTTTTGTAAATTTTGTATTATTATTTTTATCATAACTTGTGACTTTTATAGAAGGAGTCTTATCTAAATCCTCCCTTTATTGTATATGAACATTAAACTGACAGCTTGCCCTTTAGAAGAAGGATAATATTTTGAGGTCTAATGTCTGTGCGAATCTGAAGAGTCACTAACTCCAGAGAAACTGCATCAAAGTGGGGATCAGCACCATGGAGAGCGCCAAGCTTGAAACGGAGGCGATGATACTGCATTTTAAGGAAAAAATGACCAATTGGGAAACAAACAAGCAAAAACAAAAGAAAACAAAACAAAATACGTAAACAAAAAGAGGGAGAAATATTTTCGCCATAAAGCTTTCTTTACCTTGTGCACCAGGTCTTCATCATAAGTCGGGGTCTTCGCCTGGTTCTCCGTGTTTTCTCCGGAGCCGTAGCCGCTGTCGGGCTTGATCTCCGGGTAAGCGGTGGTGTAGCTCGCCGAGATCGGCTCCATTGACTCCATCCGCTCCATCCTGAATCCCCTGCTGTGCCTGTAGAAGACCTTTAAGGATCCGGAATATGGAGAAGAAAGAGCTGAGATACTGCGCACACCGACCAGTCCTCTCTTCCTCCGGGCTGTCCACGCTCCTAAATTAGCTCCTCCTTAGGAGTGAATCACATTCCACATCACTTAACATTTAAAAAAAAAGACGTGTCGTGATGGTTTACACGCACGACGTTTGACGCGATGGGCGGAGGATGGGGCATTGTGTACTTAATGTGGATATTAGAATGAATGGGGGAGAGTAGGTTATGGAAATACCTTTTTGGACTTATTCCTTATCAAGAATGGATTCCCTTTACTATTACATTTGGTTCCCAAACATTTCAGCCCGTTAACCAGAATTGAGGATCCCATGAAAATTCATATAGTAATTTCCCTCAATATTGATTTATTTATCTTTTCATAATATAAAAAAAAAAAAAAAAAATCATTCCCATGATAGATAAATGCAACTTAAAACATATGAATGAATAGGAGCAGAACGAAAAAAATTCTTATATTACTATTATTATTATTATTATTATCTTACACAAAAAGTTAAATCAATAATAACTTTAAGTGATAAATGCTGAAACATATTCAGATGCAGGTCGACCAGCGGGTGGTTTACAGTCATGTGAATATGTCTAGCATTTCACGCTTTGTTTAAATTGTAAATGTTAAAATCAAGCACCAAGAACTAATACAATATAACGCAGTTTATTAGATTTTCATAACATTGTGTCTTACATGTTTTTTTAAACACAGTAACTTATTGGGCTTATTTTAATTTATTTTTCCAGACTATTCTATAAACTGACTCCATACACAGAAACATATCACTCTAGATGTTTAGTTATAAGCAATAGTTTTAAAAATACTTCACATCCTTTTAAAGCACATTTACTTTACCCTTTTTCAAATGTGTTTTGGATATTACTGTAATGAATGGGACAGATGGACCCAGTATTCAAGGTGAGACAGACTGTGAGAAAGTTCAAAACATTTATTTACACACAGATGGAAAACAAAAGTACGGAGCTGTGGATCTGCGGACCGCAGCGGCTGCAGTGGGGGAGCGGGGCACCACCCAGTCCATGACACTCTGGCGGGAGAACACCGGTAAGTGACCACAATCATCTGACAGGATATGATTATCCGAGTGAGTCACTTAATGGTTTAACAGTTCAGTTCATCCTCTCCGAGGAAGCCAGGATCCAGCTGATGGACTGCCAAAGGAGCTGCAGCGCAAGGCCGCCTAAAGTATCCCCGATATACCAACCTCATTAAGCAGGCGGGAATCTGGTCCAGGTCAGGATACTGATCAGACAGGAAAAGTTCTGGAATCCAGGAGTCTGAAGCCCAGTCAGGGGTTCCGATCCACACAGGAACAGACAGATCCAGGGTTCCAGGAATCCACAGAGCGTGAAGGCAGGTTCAGAGTTCCATGTGTTGAGCAACGAGCTCAGACAGAAACGCACAGATGCAGACAGGCAGGCTGAGCATTTGAGGGACAGAGACAAGACATGGTACCAGGAGAACTGCAAAACTTTAAACTGGTCTCCACATAGGAGCCAGGCTTACTGGACCTAAAACTGTATTCCCACCTACAGTAGGGGCCAGGACAGGATCAGGAGACAAGACAAACACCAAAATCCTCTCAACCCACTGGCCTCCAGGGACGAGGACATGAACCTTGGAATAAACCAAACTAACGAAAGAGATCATCAATGATCTGGCCCTGATAGCTGGCCTGAGCCGAATATAAAGCAGCAGGCGCAAGTGGATAAGATAATGAAGGGTTAGGAACCCGGCAGAGTTAAGCAGATGAATGAAATGAACAATTAAGGTCAGCTATCAGGACAAAACTAAGAATACTGATCTGGCCCCGATAGCTGGGCTGAATATATAGCAGGGGGAGCAGGTGAATAACAATAATGATGATAATTAGAGAGTGGGGAGGGACAGCAGATGAATGAAGTGAGTAATAGAATCAACTACCGGGTCTGCGATCATTACAGATAACATGTTATATGGGCTTCTTACATCAGTTTAAAAAAACTACAATGAAATCAACACATTCTAATAACTGCAATTCAAAGAATAACAGATTTGATGGCTCTCTACTTCAAATCACAATGCATTTTTATTGAAGCAATATTTTGTTTCATTTTATACAACAATCTTTTGAGCTATTTTTGTTTCTGAACCATAAAAATTTGACTTCCAGGAAATTTATGAATCAATAATAACACCCAAAATGATTTCAAAAAAATCTTTGGGATCCTTTAATGTTATTATTAGTGTGGAAATGCACTCTTGCTTTCAGTCCTTCCACAATCTACCACTAGAGTTTGCAAAAGACTCAGCTTCAAATTATGTTCTGTTCCCCCAGGGGGAAGGGGACTCACCCTCTCTCTCCACATGGAGTTAATATTTACTCACTTGCTAATCTAACAAAAAGTACAGTAAAAAAAAAAACCATAGAGACTGTTTCCTTGTAGAAACCAGGGATCCTTTTTAAAGTTTGTGATATAGGCAAGAAACAAACTGGCAGAACAGAGAAACTAAAGCTGTTTTCTCTTTTTTTTTTTTTTTCTTGCTTCTGGCTCAAACACAGACTCTTGCCATGGACTCAGATCTGCTGACTGTCATTTTGGCCTCAGGTTAGTCTTTTTTTCTTGGAATCCGTTCTTCATTTCTGTGGACATATAAATATGAAGGGAGAAGGATATGATGCAGGAATTTTCTGGATCACTCGGACCCTCCTGCTTTAAGCTAAAAGGAGCCTTGTTTAACCCTAAAAAAATGAGCTCAGATTTACAGCGTTGGTTGCAGAATGATAGATCATAGAATTACCAAACTATGTTTTGTCATTTTGAAAAGTTTAAAGCAGTTTAGTTTTCTTATTTTTTAATTTCCATATTTAACATTAGGGACAGATTACTCTATATAGGACAAAAAAACAAAGGAAAAACTGAAGGTAATATATTTTATCTTCTATGATCCTCTTTGACTGACCTGGATGAATCATTCTGAAAATCTGCAGCAATGCAATTTTAGCATGTAAGAGGTCAAGTTCCTAAAGTTTAAAAAGGAAACTTTCTGTATCTGTTGCACTGATGTGAGAAAACCTCAGATATATCTATGAAATCCACAAAGAATAATTACAGTTGCAACAAAATTGAGCTTAGCATTACATTTGTACTATGGCTGGGCTATGCATCGTACTTTTCTTTCTGTTAAAGCCGTCTGTGTCTTTGCTTGATCTCAGTATCCTGTGCAGTCTTCTGTTTAGTGGTACTGATGCTGGTGGTTGCAATCTACAGAAGGGATCCACTTTGTTGCAGACTCAAACCCTACGGCACACAGGAATATGTGGTAAGAATTTATACCAAGTGCACATAACAAGGTGTTTGGATCTTAAACAAGACATAAAGTTGAATCAACCCTTTTTAACCCATTTTAACCCTTTATATAGCACTTAGTGAAATATTTTTAAAATAAAAAATTCAAGCTAAGGGTTTTATGGTGGTGGAGAACAAGAGCTTATTACTTTTTGTAGCATTTAAAAAATATGTATATCTTGGTTGCAAAAATCAATGTTAATGTAATAACAAGAAAAAGTTATTTGCCCTAATCAGTTAAAAAACAAAACAACTAAAAAAGTGCTTCTATAAAAATATTCAGGAAAGACACTCAGCGAGTGAAAGAAACACTTTTATGAGTTACAAAATAACCGTAGAGCTTTAATGCTGATACAGGCACATACATGTTTTATCTTTTTAACTGAGCTTATTTACATTTTAACTTTACTGTTTAACTTTCAATTAGCTTATTACTTTTAAAATTTAACTTATTAATTTTCTTTAAACTTAATTTACTGTAGGTAACATATTATCCAAGGGCTCATTTAATTGGTCAAATGCCAAAATGACATGTACAGCCACATCGTAATATCTTTGCTGATTGGCTTGGTATAAATCTTTGGCTTCTAGACTTCACTGACGGATGGGATGGATAGGGTGGTGTGGGGTTTTGGGGTGGTGCAGTGGATAAGCGGGGGTACTCCATTTGTAAGGGAAGCCTATACAAGTGACCAACACAGGTACCTTATCGTAAAAAGTTAAAACGCAAAGCAGCCCCAAACCATAACACTTACACCACCATATTAGAATAATGTTCTGTTTTTCAGATTATCTTTCTTTCCCTCTAGATTTATAATTTCCTAAAGACTAAGAGACTATCATTTAAACTTTTATATATATATATAAGTATATATATATACACTATATTGCCAAAAGTATTTGCTCACCCATCCAAATTATTGGAATCAGGTGTTCCAATCACTTCCATGGCCACAGGTGTATAAATTCAAGCACCTAGGCATGCAGACTGTTTTTACAAACATTTGTGAAAGAATGGGTCGCTCTCAGGAGCTCAGTGAATTCCAGCGTGGAACTGTGATAGGATGCCACCTGTGCAACAAATCCAGTCGTGAAATTTCCTCGCTCCTAAATATTCCACAGTCAACTGTCAGCTGTATTATAAGAAAATGGAAGTGTTTGGGAACGACAGCAACTCAGCCACGAAGTGGTAGGCCACGTAAACTGACGGAGCGGGGTCAGCGGATGCTGACGCGCATAGTGCGAAGAGGTCGCCAACTTTCTGCAGAGTCAATCACTACAGACCTCCAAACTTCATGTGGCCTTCAGATTAGCTCAAGAACAGTGCGCAGAGAGCTTCATGGAATGGGTTTCCATGGTCGAGCAGCTGCATCCAAGCCATACATCACCAAGTGCAATGCAAAGCGTCGGATGCGGTGGTGTAAAGCACGCCGCCACTGGACTCTAGAGCAGTGGAGACGCGTTCTCTGGAGTGACGAATCGCGCTTCTCCATCTGGCAATCTGATGGACGGGTCTGGGTTTGGCGGTTGCCAGGAGAACGGTACTTGTCTGACTGCATTGTGCCAAGTGTAAAGTTTGGTGGAGGGGGGATTATGGTGTGGGGTTGTTTTTCAGGAGCTGGGCTTGGCCCCTTAGTTCCAGTGAAAGGAACTCTGAATGCTTCAGCATACCAAGACATTTTGGACAATTCCATGCTCCCAACTTTGTGGGAACAGTTTGGAGCTGGCCCCTTCCTCTTCCAACATGACTGTGCACCAGTGCACAAA